AAACAAACAAACAAACAAACAAACAAACAAACAAACAAACAAAACCCCGGACTATTTCTAATGCTTCAATGAAGTAAGCTAAGGGTGTGGCTGTAGTTTAAAATTCCACACGTAGAATCATCAGAACAAATTAAATGGAATCAATGAGCAGCAAGTATATACATGTGCTAGTGTGAGTCTAACGGTGCATACAATCCAAATGGGGCTGATAATAAGAAACTAGATTTTAAAGAGATAAGTGTTACCGTTTGCTAAGGTCTGACTATATAAGAGGCATTTTAACTTATTTTACCTTATTTAATTTAAGGAATGCAAAAAGACAAAAAGAAGCTGATCCTTTAAACTTTATTAAGGTGAACACACACCAGCGTTGGTATTGCCTTGCTCTTTGTAAAAATCACCAAACAATTTAAACTTTGAACTTAGCTTCTGCTTCATGGACAACTCACTGTGTCAACAAGCAGTTTCTCTCTGCTGGGAATACAAAGGCAAAGATATGGCTAGAAGCCAATCCGGGGTGATACATTGTTTTTGACTGAAGAACATCAGCAGCAAAAGTTGAAGTCCCCGAAGTCCCTCCTTGAAGGGATCATGAGTATGGGGGTGTTGAGAGAAGGGGCTCAGAAAAACCATCTGACCACATCTCTCCCTTGCTAATAAATATGTACCCAGTGATTCTCCATTAACAACCAACAAAGCCTACTTTTTTTAGAGTGGCATACAGGGTCCTTTATGATTTGCTCCCTTTATGTGATCTTTTATGATCTTTTCCTTTTATGATTAGCAGCAGATCTATTGCTTGGTTTGAAAAGACTTCTCTCTTAGGTTCCTTTCTTGTTCAGATTTAATATGTTCACCAAGTTGTCTTTTCATTCAGTTTTGTTATTTTATGAATGAGCTTTCCCATAACCTAGAAAGAGAACAGAGTATGAATATTGATTCTCTAGGCAATTAGATTTCTCATCATATATCAGAAAATCGAGTTTTGCTGCAAGTAATTTTCACCTGAGTTTGGATGAAACTGTTCCCACAGCGTCCTGACTTGGAGGCTAAATTTGGCTAAGATGGGCTTACCCATAATCATGAGGTCTTCCTTGCAAGTGTCAGATGTAAGTCCTCATTGCTATTTTTACAGAGCAGGTAGGACACTTACCATTTTACTTTTCAGTAAGCTGTTTGTAGTTTAATGCAAAGAACATCAGGCTGATATTTTAGGGCTGCCCATGACTTACAATATGACACTAGGCACTAATAAACTTCTTTTGACTTAAGTTTCCTCACTTGTCATGTAGGAATAATATTTGCTCTATCTCTAGCTGTACTTAGTTGTGATGATAAAACAAGATTATGGTTGTCAAACTTATCAATTCAACAAGTGTGTAGGTATCATAAGGAATACAAATATAAGTACTTGTGCTCAAGTGCTTGGGGGTCGGATGTTTAAAAGTAACATGTAGGGAATTCAGAGACTGGAGGAATCGCATTCAAAGGAGGGGTCAGTGATAAGAAAGATTTAACCAAGGATTTAGGAGTTGAGCTGGGTCTCGAGGAACAGAAGATAGCAGAGAGTTTTCTGGAAGAGATATGGACAAGGAAACACTGAGTTTGTCAGTCTGGCCTCAGCTTTCTTTTCCAGACTTACTGTCTTCAAGGTGTAGACCCTATCTCTTTTTACATTGAAGCCTCACCTAGGTGGAACTAATTACTCTCTCTGTATTTATGGAGCCTTGGTGGTAGGGTGGTTATGCGTTGGGCTGCTATGCCACCGGCATGGTTGGCAGCTCTCAACCACCAGCACCTCCTCAGGGCTTTCTACTCCCGTAAAGTTACACTCTTGGAAACCCACAGGGAGGTCACCATGAGTCAGCATTGACTCGATGGCAGTGAGTACGGTTTTTTTGTTTGGTAGGGTAGTGGGTTAAACATTGGGCTGCTAACCCTACAGACAGCAGTTCCACTTCAAGGGAGAAACTTGGGGTTTTCTGCTCCTTTAAAGATTTATGGGCTTGGAGACCCACTGGGCCGGTTCCACTGTGCCTTATGGGCTCACTATGAGTCAGAATCAACTCCACACGGCAGTGAGTTTTGGTATTGACTTGCCCCCGTTTTTGTCTGGCCCTTTGTTTACGCAACACTTATGATTTTTAACACTCTATAGAACCTTGTGCAGCAGGTTTACCCAATGCTCCTTCATTTCTTGACTGCTTTCATGCATGTTGATTGTGGATCCAAGTAACATGGAATCCTTGACAATTTCAATATTATCTCTGCTTATCATTATGTTGTCTATTGTTCCAGTTGTGAGGATTTTTGTTTTCTTTACATTGAGTTGCAAGCCATACTGAAGACTGCAGTCTTTGATCTTCACCAAGTGCTTCAAACCCTCCTCACTTTCAGCAAGCAAGGTTATATCGCCTGCATATTGTAAGTTGTTAATCATTCTTCCTCCTGTCCTGATGCTGCATACTTCTTTATATAGTCTGGATTCTCGGGTTATTTGCTAAGTATGGTGAAAGGATATAATCCTGATGCACACATTTTCTGATTTAAACCATGCAATATGCCCTTGTTTTGTTCAACCTACTTCCTATTGGTCCATTCACACATTCATTGTACACATGAGCACAACAAAATGTTTTGGAATTTCCATTCATCTGCAGTACTATCCAAAGTTTATTATGATCCATAAAGTCACACGGGGCAAATCTGCTACACAAGTCCTTGTTAAATTATTAAAAAGCAATTTTAAAGGCAATATCTCGGAAGTACTTAAGTTTTAGCATCTTCTTGTCACTTCTACAGCTGCCCTTATTATATCTTTACACGTGTATTTCAAGCGTGAGAATTGTAGTTGTGTGATTTGCCCAGCTGAGTTCAGAGGTTGAAAACTCGACTGGTCCCGCGGGTCATTAAACAACGTGGATACCTGAAAAAGGGACTGGGAATGAAGAGGGGCAAGAGACAATAAATGGAGGTAAGACAGGAGTCTGATCAAGCCTCGTTTATTGAGCAGAAGGCAGGGGCTTAAATACCCAATGGAGGACAGGTAACATTACATCATATGCTAATAAAGTGTAACAAGTAGTATCCAATAATCACGCAGCTACCAAATATGGAAGAAATGGCAGGCATCAGCCCTCAAACAGGTCCGCATGCAAATGAGGTGCACTTGGACGGTCCACATGCAAATGAGGTGCACTTGGATGCCTGGTGGAGGTGTCCAATGAGCATGGCGACTGCCTGCCACTGAGCACCAATCATCACAAAGGTCAAGCAATTAAAAAAACTCAGTCAAGACAATAGGCCAGGGAACATCCAGGAATGGGAAGCTTAAAGACAGCTGACAGCCCAAGCCATGGGCTGAGGGACGTGCAGACTCCCACAAAAACTCTCTGAGGCAGGGATCTTAAACAACGAAGGAAACCATACACTCTCTCTGGTCTTGACTTGAATTATGAGGACCTAACATGATAAAAGCGGGAGTGGGGGCAGCGCCCTTGGTTATTACTCCAAATCCGCCTGAAACTAAGGACATGGTTTCCGAAATCACTTGGGGTGGGGTGGGAGGCGTGTGAGATTTCTCTGTGTTCCTTAAGTCCTAAATCGGTTGCCCTTTAACAACAACAACAAAAGGATCCAGTTTGGGTGGGCTAGTGGTAAAGGTGATGAGGGGCGGGGGGGAGGGGAGGGGGAAGAGAGCGGGAACTTAAACCCTCCCGAGGCTTCCTCGGTCTAGGTTTGGAAAGTTGAGAAGCTGGCGAGAGAGTCCCTTCGGTCCTGCGGAGGAGGTAAGTTAGGGCCCCGCCAGAAGTTACACGTCCAAGGCCGGGCTCCCTCCCCCAGGAGCCAGCTTTGGGAGCTGAGCGTCCTCGAGGTGGCTTCGGGCCCTTCTCACCTCAGGGCCTTGGAAAGGCGCCGCAGCCCTGGACTCTGACCCTCATGAGCTTTGGGGGTCTGCCAGCAACCCAGGCCCCATCTCTCTCTCTCTCTCTCACACACACACACACACACACACACAATCTGTCACACACACACAATCTGTCACACACACACAATCTGTCTCACACACACACACCAGACACACGCGCGCGCACACATACACACACCAGACACATACACACACTTCTGCGACCACTCACTACACACACACACACACACA